TTCCCGCGCTTTTGGCATCAAGTGTTCAAATTCGAGCTAAGTTATTAGTGTGGAATCTTTCCCGCGCTTTTGAAATCAAATTTTAGGCTAAGATCTAAGCTTCAGTGTGAAGGCGGGATTAAACATTCCCGCGCTTTTGGCATCAAATGTTCAAATTCGAGCTAAGTTATCAGTGTGGAATCTTTCCCGCGCTTTTGGCATCAAATGTTCAAATTCGAGCTAAGTTATTAGTGCGGAATCTTTCCCGCGCTTTTGAAATCAAATTTTAGGCTAAGATCTAAGCTTCAGTGTGAAGGCGGGATTAAACATTCCCGCGCTTTTGACATCGAATGTTCAAATTCGAGCTAAGTTATTAGTGTGGAATCTTTCCCGCGCTTTTGATGCCATATTTCAAATTTTTAAATTCGCGCTAAGATCTAAGTGTCAGTGCATAGGTGGGACTAAACTTTACCGTGCTTTCGAAACCAAATTTCCCTCGCATTTTCAAATTTTTAAAACATCAGTACTCGCTATAACTTTAAATTTGAAATCATTTATTATTTTAACATATTTTATTGTTCATCGAAATGCTGCACAAATTTTGTCAAAAAAAGACTTGTTACAAAAATTTAGAATAAAAGCAACAAGCGATTTTGAAATGAATAATATTTTTCTTTCCCTCGCCCAGCTAATTAAGAGAAGTTTATTGAATCCGCAATAATAGAGTTGATAAATCTCGAAATTAGTTTCCAGCGATAAAGACTTCTGATGAGCCGAAACAATATTTGATGGCTTGTTGAAAACTGATTTGAATGACTTTCGAATTGGAATAAGGTTGGATAGTCCATTTGATGTTGTTTCAATGATCAACAATAAAACAGGATTTGCAAAGCCGGATAGAATCTTTGTTTAAGACATATTTTTGCAGAATTGTCTGGATCAGGATATAAAATTACGAATTGTTAGTCAATTGAATTGAAGGATCGGATATAACTTACCAAAGTTTTAGTCAGAAACCAAAAATTCTGTAAGAATATGAATTGTTAGTCAATTGAATTGAAGGATCGGATATGACTTACCAAAGTTTTAGTCAGAAACCAAAAATTCTGTAAGAATATGAATTGTTAGTCAATTGAATTGAAGGATCGGATATGACTTACCAAAGTTTTAGTCAGAAACCAAAAATTCTGTAAGAATATGAATTGTTAGTCAATTGAATTGAAGGATCGGATATGACTTACCAAAGTTTTAGTCAGAAACCAAAAATTCTGTAAGAATATGAATTGTTAGTCAATTGAATTGAAGGATCGGATATGACTTACCAAAGTTTTAGTCAGAAACCAAAANTTTTGATATCAAATGTTCAAATTCGAGCATCTTTCCCGCAAATCCGAGCTAAGTTATTAGTGACGAATCTTTCCCGCGCTTTTGATATCAAATGTTCAAATTCGAGCATCTTTCCCGCG